AATTTCTTATGAGTATTTATTTTATAAAAAGTTTATTGTTAGTAATTTTAAAGTGTTTGGTTGTAAAAACTCTATTTTGAATATTAAAAAACATCTTGATAAATTTGATAAGAAAATGGATGAATGCATATTTTTGGATTATTCTAATGATAAAAGAGCCTATAGCGTGTACAATAGGAGAACACTTGTTATCGAAAAGACAATTCATGTTACCTTTGATAAATCTAATGAAGTTATTACACAAGTCTCGTGAAGATGAGTATGTAGGTGTACAACAAGAATTTAAGAAGTCAATTATTCAAAATGAAGAACAGGCGTTAAAAGAAAACACTCTTTCAAGTGGAAAAGAAGTAAAGAAGGATGACGAAGTACCAAAATATCTTGCAAAAGTTTGAAGATACATTTCACATCATCCAAAGAACTTCATCATTGGTGATCATTTGAAAAGGGTAAAAACTCGCTCTTCTACTAGACTTTCACTACAAGAAAAAAGGTCATTAGTGACAACATTTCTTTGTGACGACAAAAAGTCGTCACAAAATGAGGTTGTTTAGTCACGACTTTGAAGATTGTCACAATTGACTCAAAGCAACTGAGTTTTCAGTGACAACCTTTAATTGTCGTCACAAAACTACTTCGCGCCATGGGACTTGGAAGGCGCGAGTTTTGCGATAGTGACGACTTGATAAAAGTTGTCAGTAATTCTACCACTTTCTTTGACAACTTTTCATTGTTGTCACTGTTTATGTTTATTGACGACCAATTTTTGTCAGTAAAACTATAGTGTAGTTAGTGACAACATAAGTATCATCACTAACTTGAACATCTCTAATGCATTTATTTAATTGTGAGCCTCAATATTAATTTAATTTTTTTTAAAATTTGATGATTTATTAAACTAGTCATAGTTACTTAAATATTAATTTAATTTTTTTAAAATTTGATAATTTATTAAACTAGTCATAGTTACTCAATAAGTTTTTAACTGAAAAAAATTAATGAAAGTTTTTAGTTAGAACAACTATATAAACTATTACAATTAGAACTCAAGGCCTCTAAATTCAAATACCTTAATTTTGGGTACTGTCAATGCCTCCTTGACATCTAATTGGTTGAATGTTGAAACTCATTAAGTACAAATTCATTTTGATGAAAAGCGGAATTAGTTGTGTTATATAAGTTAATTAATGAAATCAGGACTACTAATTACTGCAATTCCTTCAAATTTAATGTTGATTTGCTAAAAGTCAAAACGAATACATATTTTTCTTACAAATCAATACGTATACTATAGTTTCGTGCAAGTTTACATTCATGATTCTTCAATATAAAACATCTAAAAAAATATAATACTATTAGACAAAACTAACAAAATTTTCTAGAAACTGATAGAAAATTCTTAACACATAATTAAGATTTTTCTTTTTTTATGTTTAAAAATAATGAATTATTTCTTAAAATAATATGAAAGTAGATTCCCGATCTAGTATACTTAATTAAAAAGTTTAATTTAATACAAAGAAAATAACCTTTCTTTGAGAATCTAAATAAAAAGATAAAACTAAAAATTGGATCAAATTTTTTGTTCAAAATGAAAAAGAAACAGCGGGAATTGAAAATTGGTGGAGGCATTCTTTAAAAAGCAAATTTCAAAATGAAAGAGTACAAGTCTACCACTTTTGGGCTAAGTCTGATACACTTCTAATTCTCACATTTTCACTCGCTGGCCTTCTCACTGTCTCTCTCGGTCTCTCTCTCACTTCGACCCCTCTCAATTTCTTTCTCACTAATGCTCGAGCATTTCTCCTTATTGGGCTACTGATTTTGATATGTTTCCTCAGAGCATGTGCTGTAAAAAGGCAAGTTTCTCTCTTCTTGCTTAGTAACCAATTTCCCCCAATTTTTATTGACCCGATTTTGTGTTCCCAACATTCAATTTTTGGGTAAATTCTCTTCTTCTCTATCATTTGTCTAGTTTCCCCAAAGTTTCTTACCCTAATTAGCAATCACCATCATTTGCAATCACCTTTTCTACCCTACTTAGATGATCAATTGTTTCAATTTCTCCCCAAATTTTATTGCCCTAATTTTTTTTAAAAAAAAAATTTCTGCCCAGGACAAGGAGGGCATCACCCGGACCAGCAGCACCTCATCTTCACTGGCAAGCAGCTCGAGGACAGCCGCACCCTAGTCGACTACAACATCCAGAAGGAGTCTGCCCTCCACCTCGACGATGGCGCCAAGAAGCGCAAGAAGAACACCTGCACCAAGCCAGCGGTGACTGAGGGAAATTCTCCCCCCTATTTTTATAAACTTTATTGTTACTAGTCTAATTGAACATTAGCAGCATGTTCTTATTTTGAAGATTTTGTTCTTTATTGGGTTTGATATATTATTCTCTAAAACCGTTGGATTTTGCTTTCTAAAAAAATTTAGATTGTATGTTTCTTTAAGATTTTATCAAATTCTTGGTTATTCTATTTTCAAGCGCTTGGTTTATTTTATTTTTTGGTTTTAATTTCACATTAAACTGCAAAGCGTCCCCTTTTCAGCAATTCCTGGTATGTGTTCAAAGCGTCCCCTTTTCAGTTTTACTTAAAGCGTCTACAAATCATCATTGTGGTGTTGTTTGTAGAGCTAAATGCATTACAATTAAGGTAGTAAGAGTAAATTCTACAGATTTGAATGCTTTTCAAAAGCAACATTTTTTTCACTTCAAAATTCAACTCGTTTAGATCCATGCACTTAGTCTGGTTCAAAAGTAGCCTTGAATGTTTCTTGAATTGAGGTGATTGAAATATGTCTGTCAAGACTTCAAGCTCTTTCCTAATGTTTTCCTGTTGGAAGTGCTCTATCTTTGTGTAAATGTGCACACTCACAAATCGACTCTCATTTCCTTTGTTTCCATTTATTTATTTTTTTAGAAACCTGGACAAGTTGCTCCAAATCATTGCATTTGTACTTTGCCTTAAAAGCTGTATATTAGCTATGGATGTAGTCCTGCAAGTTGAGATACTGTAGACTTTTTTTTCTGCTAACTTATAAATTCATTCTATAACACAAACCTCTAAGGTTGCATCTCAAGTCTAAGGTGTTGCATCGGGTGACTGAGAAATCTGGTGATAGAGTTCTAAGGCTGCATCTCTAGTCTACTTAAGGACTTGTACTAGTATCACTTTGGAAGAGCTTGGTAAGAGGACCAAACTCATCAATTAGTTTTGATGTGAAAAAAGATCTTCCTCCGTAAAAATTCATGAACTACGAATGTTATTAGAACAGCATGGACAGCTTCTTATAGTATGTTTCGAGAGTCCATGATTCTCCAGAATATACTTGTTAGCCTTACTTGTGCTGAATTTCACATGTTTCACTATTTTTTAAGGGCAAAGGTGCTTTGGCCAAAATGTTTTGCTTGCAAATGTGTTGACTGCATTTACTTCTCTGCCTAGTATGTTCCTTTTGTTAAGTTTACAAGGGAGAGGTCAAACCTCTTAAATAGAAACAAAACATAGGGTCGCAGCCCCTAAAATATTTGCACCACGCAATTCACTAAGTTCCTGTGGCGGTTCTGTTATAATCTGCATCCCAGATTCTTTGTTGACACTACTTTTAGCTAGCTAGTCTGCACACTTACTTCTTTCTCCAAACATGTTGTAGCCAGGATTCCCGATCCCTGCTTAAAACATTCCTGATCTGACATATTAGATTGTATAGTGGTGAGTCCTGTCCTGCTCCTTGTATTTGTTCCAAAGCTGCCTTGCAATTCGTGTCCAGAATCACTCTTCTTTCTCCAGAGTTCCAAGCCATTTTTATCCTTTTGAGTACTCCCCACAGCTCTGCTAAGTGCTATCATATTATCTATTAGCCCAATATTCACTATAAAACTTGCTTTCCATCTCCCCCAGCTATCTATATGTCCCTTTTCAAATTACTATGGCTTTGCCTCTTCTACTTGGAATAATGCTAAATTGAGAAGTGTACATCTTGCCATAGTTAATTGCTAATTATTGATAGTTTCATGTCTTACATGGTAGTTTGTTCTCCATATAGCATTATTTTATACTGTATAATCACAAACTTTTTGCTGGATGTAGGTTGGATTTTCTGTTAACGGAGTAATAATACTAACTTTTATGTGGGTTTTGAAGGCATTCCTTGAGGTAATACATTTTCTTTTCACATGAATGGTTCCCATTTTTGGTGCCATTCTTGAAGTAAATTTCACTGTGAATGTTTTGCAATGTCCCGCCACTTGCCTAACTCACTAGTTTGATTGGAATACAATATTAAGGGGTGCTGGTTTTCTATGGAATTAATACACCATGACAAACAGCAAAAGTAATTTCAGAGATCTAGAACAAGAAAGTTGTTATTTGCTTTTAAATGGCAAAGAAACATTCTAGTTATGTTGGTACACATTGCTCCTACTTGACACCTTATATCATGATCGACATTACTTTGGTTATCATACTTGACACCTTGTATCCTCTGTGGTGCATTAGTTTGGATTGTTTTGGTTTAGTTTAGTTTAGTTTATTTGAATGTTTTAGCTAAGCAAGTGAACTGAAGTTGCTTTTCCTTTAGTGTTGTGCTTATCGTCTTATCAACTGGTTATATTGTTCATAGCAGTACTTATATCAGTACTTGTTATAGTAGTGCTTGTTGCCTTATCAACTTGTTATATTATTCCTTTGAGGCTGAAGTTTAATAGCAGTACTTATTTCTTGAGCTAATTTGGTGCATTAGTTTGGGGCTGATTTTGAATGTCCAGCTTTAATTATTGAGGTTCTCTTTGGATTGCAAATTTTAGCTAAGCAACTGAACTACAAGAGATATAGTGAAATTGGGAAATGGCAAGGTTTAGTGAAATTTTGTCTGATGTTAAAAATTTCCCCTCGTGTTGAAATTTGGTATTTTTTTTTCACGACAAAATAGCCTAGCAAATTGTCACACTTAAAAGACAGTATCTTTGATCAGAACAAAACAATGACTAAATTCGTTTATATTATTCCAATCTTGTTTGCCACATCCAAAGCATCGTAGTCTGGAGTCAACCGAACATATGCTTTCTTTGTTCCATCAGGCCTGATTAAAGTGTTCACTTTCTTGGTCTGTATGTCGTACATCTTCTTCACTGCATCTTTGATTTTCTTCTTATCAGCACGGATGTCAACTATGAATACCATGGTATTGTTATCTTCAATCTTTTTCATGGCAGATTCAGTAGTCAAAGGATATTTGAGAATCTGATAATGGTCCAACTTATTCCTAGGAGGAGCACTGATGCGTGGGTACTTCGGGTTCCCGTCCTTTTTCAATGTCTTAGGACGATGGAAGGTAACTTTGGTCCGGATCTTCTTGGCTTTCTTCTTCAAAGTTGTCCCAGATTTGACAAATTTGGCAACCTTGGTTGCCTGAGCCTTTGTATCAAGCTTTTTTATGGTGTCAGCTTTAGGAGCCATTGTTGGAAACTGCCTTACAAATCTTTTACCTGAGGGGAGGAGCCGAGTGTTGAGGGGAGGAGCTGAGTGTTGCTGAAGCGGCTCTGTGTTGAAATTTGGGACTTGGATTTGTTTTGTAAAGCTACCTCGAGTTATATGTCAAATTTAGGCCAAATACCACTTATCAAACTATCTATAGGGTGTTGTTGAACTTCATTATGATACTTGAATGCTTATATGATATTTTGACATTTCGTAATGCAATGGATGCATTCATTTGCTAATTATAAATCATTGTCATTTTTTTCCATTTATAGATATAATTGTTGTAGGAAAATTTTCAATTTTCATGGTGATAAAGAGTTATCATTGAATCAGAATTTTCCATTAATAACAATCTGTGGTCATAGAATTAAAAAGTATTTAGTGACAACAAAAGTTGTCAGTAATTAGTCTATACCAATGACAATTACATATCACTTTTAGTGACGACATTTATTTGTACATCATTGACAAGATACTATGTCATCACTAAAATTACAATAATTATTGACGACATCAGTTGTCACAAAACAGTTCCATTCACTGACGACTTTTATTATCGTTACTATATACTTTTACTGACGGGCCTTCAGTGACGACTCTGTGACAACTAGAAAGTTGTCAATAAAAGTTATCAGTGACAACTTTTTATTTTTTTGTGACAAAAATGGCTTGTCACTGAAGACCAAATTTCTTGTAGTGTTTTGATTGATTATTTTGCTTTACTTTCTCAATTTGGGTCCAAAAATATTGATGAGGATTTAATAGATAATTGTTGGATTATGGCTATACAAGAAGAGTCGAACCAAGTTGGCAGAAATAAAGTATAGATTCTAGTTGAGAGACATTTAGATCACTCAGTTATTGGTATTAAATGGGTATTTAGAAACAAATTGAATGCTAAGGGTAAAATAGTTAGAAATAAAGTTAGGTCAGTGGTAAAAGAATATGTTTAAAAAGAAAAAATAGATTATGGTGAAACCTTTGTTCTGGTTACTAAACTAGAATCTATTAGAATGTTTCTTACCTATGCATGTTTTAAGAACTTCAAATTGTTTCAAATGGATGACCAAAGTGTATTTTTAAATAGTTTTATTGATCAAGAGGTGTATGTTGAACAACCTCAAGGTTTTGAATGTGAAAAATTTTCAAATTTCAAAAACTTTGTATGGTTTGAAACAAGCTCTTAGAGTTTGGTATGAAAAATTGAACAATTTTTTGATTGTAAATGGTTTTAAAAGACGTGTTATTGATAGCACTATTTTTACAAAGAATTGTGAAAATAATCTCTTAATAGTTCAAATATATGATTGTGACGCCCCCATTTCTCCCTAAGGCGAACCAAAGGGTATCCACGGATCGCCTGCTCAGCTCTCGTTAGGACTCACTACAATCCACAATTCAAAAGTTTGAAATACTTCAAATAACTTCAATATATAATTAAAGTACTCCAAAATATTGCATGCTTACAATTGGTTAGCTTTCAAGCTTAATACAATCCAAGAGAATATGTACTACAACCATCCGCTATAATATGACTTAAGATCTTCAAAAGAAAACAATCTAGTACCATTCACGAGCACTCTTGGTCTCAAACCCTATTAAGGAAAACAAAAACGTGGAATGAGCTACACAGCCCAGTGAGGTTCCAAGACACTCTAGCAGTTCTAATAAATCAAGTAATTTGATCATACCACATGTATGGTTCAAGGTTGCATATTTGGCACCTTAACATGAGATAGTTATCATTGTACGAGTAATTTGAGCATAACATAAGTATGGTTCAAGATTTCACATTGGCACATTTACAATAGGACAGTTTTCATGATACAGAAATAAACACATACTGAAGGATACAGTGTTCCAGTGAAACCATTTCGGTCAACTTCACCTTATAACTCCTTGTCTCCTCGGTTTGTCTGACCATTACCTTATCCCTCCAGTGGTAGTACTCGAGTATACCGAAACGGTGTCCTAGGGTTCCAACCTACCCAACCGAGCCCAATCCTGACTCGAGTAGGTTAGTAACCAAGGGCAGGGTCCAGTTTAGTTTAGAACTTACAACATGCACAAGTAATCAAGTAAATTGGTGTACGGTAAAAATTTATCATTTTAGTAAGTCGAGTGAGATAAAGTACACACTCGCCTTAAAACGGTGGCCAATTTCATATGAGCAATTATCATTAACATTTAACACTTAAACACATAAGCAATATGCGGTAATTTCATATGAACATGTAATTTATGATAATCAAGTAATCAAGTAAGCAGGTAATCAAGTAAATCGGTAAACGGTAAGTAATCACGGTTAACGGTAAACAGTAAATGGTAATAGTTCACGGTTAATTTAAAGACATTTATCATTTTAGTAAGCCGACTGCGATAAAGTACACACTCACCTTAAAATGGTGGAAAAGTTCATAGAAGCAATTATCAGTAGCACTTAACAGTTAAACACATAATGACTATGGAGTAAATATGTCATAAAACTATTCAAATCACGTACTCTTATATGGAACACTCGCCTATTCAAAACAAGTGAGTAAGTGCTCAAAAAAGTGTTTAGGTTTCGGCTTCGAGTTCCTCTTGACGGTCCCCTTGAGCACCTGAGCAAATAATAACGAACTATTACACATTATCGCTTAAAACCCCTAATTACCAAGGAAGATTGCACTCATGTACAATCTAAGAAGATATCCTAGAATGAGCCTTAATTTCTCACAAATCGAGACTCGAAGTGGGGTTTTAATAATACAAGGAAAATCTGATTTTCATCTTAAAATCAAGTGTAAAACGGTCAAGCAATCTTGAAGGAAAAAGGTGAGTTCTAAAAACTCAATTTCCTTTAAGTTCGTAAATTTCAGTTTTGACAAGTAATCTTTGAAAAATTGTATCTCATTCTCTGTAAGTCCAAAATTGGAAAACTTGGTACCGTTGGAAACTATTTCTAAAGTACTAAAAGTTCTTAGAAGGCAGTTTTCCATGATTCCAAATTAAAGGCATTCAAATTTCGGTTTCAAGTTTCTAATTTGAACTCCCAAGACAGCTTTGGAGTTGGTTTTCGGCAAACTTCGGAAATTCGGCAAAATTCATGAAATGCGAAATAGCCTCTCAAATTTGAAACTAAATTAGAGTTACAATCAAATTTTAAAACAAAAAAAATGGAACAAGAATCGAAGTTTTGAGCGCCAAGATATAGCAGCTCAAAGTTGGCTAAAAATTTCTCATTGATCAAGAATTTCCAGATTTGAAACATGAATTTTGGGACTTCAGTTGGGCATTGAAATAGACTCGGAATGGCACCAAATTTGGTAGTATTACTCTAAAATATAAGGGCTATTCCTCTGTCAAATTTCATATAAAAATTCGTTCGGGAAGTCAGTTAACAAAGCCACTAAAGTTCCAAGAATTTCCAAGGCAAATCTGCCTTGTACTTTAGTTTTCCTTTTTCAAACATTTGGCCAATGAAATCTTCTCAAACATGGTTCATTTATGAAGACAAGGTCTAATAAACATCCAAGATGTGTTTGATAGGTGATTAACACCAAGGATTTCGAATAACAAGTCCCAAATCAAGATTAGCTATAAATCAGTCCAGAATTAGGGTTTTCTTTCACGAAGACAGCTCTAAAATCTAGTCACAACTCACTCAATTTAACTCAGAATTGAGCGTGGTTGATGGCGTTGGAAACTACATTCATAAGGTTACAATTTCTCAGAAGGAATCGTTTTAAAATTCTGTCCACAACTAGCTCATATTTGAGCATCAAGTCGCAGCTCAAAACAGGGCTTCTAGTACAGACGAGAAACAGAATAGGAAACTTTACAAGGTTGGTATGGTTCACTCAAGTGGAATCAGGAAATGAATTTTATACCATTTGAAAAACTGGAAGTGTCTAGTTTCTTGGATGGCCAGCTGCTATGAGTGAAGAGAGAGAGTGTGTTTGCTGAAAATGAAGCTTCCTTGAGAAGCTTAAGTGTGTGGCCAAAAATGTTTCAAAAGTCAACTAGGAATAAAAAGCGTTCGCGAGCATTTTGTACCCGATTCCTCTCGAGTTTGTTTCACTTGTGCACTAAACCTCCAATGTACTTTCTTAAACATTATAATTATTCACTCTTAATAGTCTAGAATAAATTCCTTAAATCTCCAATTAACCGCTCCAACTCGATATACGCGAACTTTCGATTTGCACGCGTTACGGTGAAACTTCCAAGAAATTCTTATAACGATAGTATAACTAACCACTACTAAGGTAATAAATCATGAAAATAACTATTTTAGAAATAAAAACATGAGTCCTCACATGAGTCTAGTATTAATTCCTCAAATCTCCAATTAATTTGTACCAGCGCATCTTTCGGAAAACTTTTGACACGCGCATGGTATACGCTTAATTTTAACTCACTCACATCTAATTTCTCAATTAACTTTTCTTAGTCTACTACTGGTCATTCTTAATTCTCCAAGACTAATATACTCTCGGATCGAACATAGTCTCGAAAAACGTGTACTCCTTATTTCTCGCTAAACGAGCTCTAGAAAAATTAATTTTACTAACGAGACGTGTTAAAAATATAATTGAGACATTATTCCATGTAAATAAGTTTAAAATGATTTAAATAAATTATTCAGAGAAAATGGGTGAATAAATAATTAAATAAACCAAAAAAATAAAATAAAATAAAAATAAGAAAATTTGGGTCCTCACAATGATGATATTATATTTGGTGCCACTGATGAAAGTTTGTGTAAAGATTTTTCTAACATTATACAAAAAGAGTTTGAGATGAGCATGTTGAAAGAAATGAACTTCTTTCTTGTATTTATTCAAGTTCATCAAACAAAAGAAGGAAACTTCATTAATCAAGCAAAATATACCAAGAAGTTGTTAGTGATTTGGAATGAAGGACTCAAGATAAGTGAAAATGCCAATTTGCACATCCACAAAATTTGACAAGGATAAAGGTGTCAAAATAAATGAAAAGAATTATAG